CTGGCAGTCAAATTTACTTGGCTTTATCAGGTAAATCAATGAGGCATCTCAGTGAAACCTTGAGAATTATTAAAGTATAATTTTTTAAAGATAAAATCATGAGCCTCATAAATATATATTTTTTCATTATATAAAATAAATGTGTCAAAGATTTTATTTAACTCGTTAATTAGTGAGGGGGCCAGTAAGATGTTGCAACTGGTTCAGAGAATTCAGAGAACACAGGCATGTATATAGGTAATTAAGAATCCTGAAATCAGTTTACTGGTAGATGCGAAGCTGTTTTATATCCACAGGCAAATAATCAATTACATCTCCACCAACAGAATTAGTTTGCATTTCTTTGGATAACAATCATGTACACTATCAGTTTTCTACAGCTTAATTTTTGTAAAATAGCTCAAAGACAATGAAAGTCACAAATAACCTAGCAGCTTGTGCTACAGTGAACATCCAGTAAACTTTTTTTTCCTATTTCAAAGTCTTCGACAATTTTTCTGATGTTGTTTACTCTTACTTGAGTTGAGGGAAAGATCTGTTTCCTTCATCCTTTCATTTTTCTTCCTTATCCAACTCTGTATTTCAGAACATCAGCCAGAGATCCTTGCTGCAACTATAGGCAGACAGAAACTTAAGAACAGTGATTCTCAGCCTTTGTTGCTATGTCTGTTGCAAGCTTTACGTCACAAGAAACATGATGCATTTCTTCATGTTCAAAAAGAGTGGAAAAAAGGCATTTTTTAACAGGATTTTTTTTCAAGAAAAATAAAATACTTTCATTCATTAAGCAAATATGTAATGAGCATATCTACTTTTCAAACTCTATCATTTTCTTTAAGGCCCTGTACGTATGGCCTCTGCCTATCTCTCCAACCTCACCTCATGCCTCTTTTCTACTCATTTAGTACCTTCCATTGTCTTTTCAGTTCTAGACATATCTTTTACTGCTTTAGAAGCTTTTGTATATACTTCCCTCTGCCTGGAATTCTCATCCCTCCACACTTCACTTGGTTGAATCCTTCTCATCTTCACCACCTCTTTTAAAATGGCCCTTTCTTATTCTCCACCCCACACCATTATTCTCTGTCCCAGCAACTACTTATTTCCTTCATAGCATGTGCCACGCTTTATAATTATTTTATTTGTTGGTTTACTTATTTTAGGCTGTCTCCCCCAATAAAATATATAATAGGACATCTTTGTGTCAGGGGCCATATCCATCTTGTTAACCATTAAATCTCTAGCACAAATAAAATTCCTGATACATAATGGGCACATACAAATACTTGTTGAACTAGCAAATGAATGAATTAAAGGCATGTGCTATTCACTAGGGATTCATTATATATATACAAGGTTCCTGTTCTCACAAACTTTGTAGTACAATAAAGGATATATATCAGTTATCAGGCAATTGCAGTATAATCTAAGTGTGTGATGTCAGAAGGACATAGTATTATGAAAGCACATAAGGAAGGCCTGGAGATTTCTGCTGTTTCTATGATGGAGTGACTCATTTGGACCAACCCTCCCACCAGGAACAACTATAAAAGCTACACAAATTTTTTAAAAAAGAAAAAGCAGTTATCTGAAGAGAACAACTAAGACAACCAGGATTCAAGGCACCAAGATCTCAGAGAAAAGTGAACCACAGAGAAATAGAACTGAAATTCTTCGACGTATTTTTCCTCAAGGCGTTTACTAATTCCTCAGGGGACAGGGCAAAGTGTAATGTTACCAGAGGCCAAGAAGCTAAGCATAACAGAATAGCTAAAAGGTGAAGAAAATAAGAATTTTCAACAGTCTTAAGAGTTTAAGACCTGCCATGGAGGAGGGGCCCTAGCAAATAATCTCAACCTCTGATTAGATCAAGGTAATCTTAATTTAACTGCCAGAAGAAATTAAATCCTTTCTGGAGGAATATATCATCATTCAGAGCCTCTGAATTTTTTTCATATGTAACGTTTGGGCTTTAGTTTTTTAAATTACCAGAAATATTAGATATAGGACAAAATGACTAAAAACTTAGAAAGGAGAACAAGACAGTATAGCCCTAAGAATGATCCTGATATTTATATTTTAGAAAAGTGATGAAATGAAAATTTTAGAAAAAGGATGGAAAGTATGGAAAAGAGCATAAAAGACATGGGATTTGGTGAAATGTGTAACATATGTGTAATTAGAGAAAGGAAAGGAGAGACATAGTAAACAGAAGCAATATTTAGGAGATACTGGCAGAGAGTTTTCCAAAACTGATAGAAAAAAAACCATCAAGCCAGAAATTCAAGGAGTTCTGCTAATCTCAAGCAGGATAAATACAAAAAAAGTATTTTTTGTATGAGTACTTAGGTAATCATAGCAAAACTACTGAAAATGAAAGACACAGAGAAAAATCTTATCAGAAGGACACATTGCCTTCAAAGGACCAACAGTAAAACTAACAGAAATGATTTTAACAGAAATGGTGAAACTCAGGAAACAATGGAATGGCATTTGTGAAGTGCTGAAAGAAAATAACAGCTAGTCTGGAACTGCATATCCGGCAAAAATTTCCTTTAAACATGAAGGTAAAATAAAGACATTTTCAGCTAAACAAAAACAGAGCAGACCTACACAAAAGAGTTTTTCAGCCAGAAAGACTATGGAAGTGTGGAAATGCAGAAAGGATTAGAAAGCAAAGGAAAGGGTGAATATGTGGATTAATGTAGAGTATTGACTGTATGAAAAGATAATGTCTTTTGAGGTTTAACTATATATAAATATTATATATTAAATATATAAATAAGAGTATATATTGTCTTATAGTAATGTGATAAAATATACATGGTAGTTTAAAATACATATACATATATAGACACACACATACTTAAAATGTGTATTGAATATATGGTAAATGAAATCACAAAAAGCAGAGAGGAATAAATGGGGTTAATATGTTTCAAAGTTCTTGCATTGTCTGGAAAGTGATCAAGATAACCAAATTATGGCAGACTGTAGTAAGTCAAGAATGCATGTTGTTGGGGGAGGTTATAGCTCAAGTGGTAAAGTACATGCTTAACATACACAAGATCCTGGGTTCAATCCCCAGTACCTCCTCTAAAAATAAATAAACTTAATTACCCCCCCCAAAAAATGTGTGTTGTAACCTTTAAAATAACCACTAAAATAATAATAAAAGAATGTGTAACTAACAAGCAAATAGAAGAGAAAGAAAATAACAAAAAAAATTGGTGACTCAAAAGAAGGCATGAAAGAAGAAAAACAAAAGAAATACAGAAGTGACAAATAGATAACAAATAGTAGGATGATTGTTTTAAACTCTCAATATAGCAGTAATTATATTAAATATAAATGTTCTAAATCCTCCAATTAAAAGTTGTGATTCTAGATTTTAAAAAACAAGGAATTATATGATCTTAAAAGAGACCCACCTTAAATATTAGGACACAGTTAATTGAAAGTAAAAGATGAGGAAAAGGTTATAATGAAAGATGGCGGTTGTGGCTGTAATGGTATCAGAGAAAATTAAGATTAAAAGGATTACTAGATATTAGGAGGGAATTTCCTATATTTAAATGGATCAGTTCATCAAGAAAATATAGCAATTCTAACTTTACTGCATCTAATAATATAGTCTCAAAATAAACCTAAATCAGTAATCTATCATCCAGCCTTGGGAATTCAGGGGAGACTGAGAAGATGACACAGACTGAGATAAGGGTGGAGTAGAGAGGAGAGGGTAGAACGAAAGAGTATTCCAGACAGAAAGAAGAACATTTTCAAAGACTTGAGGCCAGAAAGCTTAAAAACTGAAAGCAGTATAGTCTTGCTGGGATGCACCAGAGAAAGAAAGAGGAAGAAGAATAGGGTGGGTGAGAAGAGAATTGCCTGATGAGAGCAATGACTAGTGAAAAGGGGGCTAGACAATACAGGAACCTTAGATATGACATGTAGAAGATGAGACTTTTCTGGAAACCAGGAAGTTATTGAAGTATTATATAGTGAGGTGATCAGATTTCTTTCCAGTACTGCGAGGGGAATGAACTAGAGGAGGGCAGACTGCTCCCAGAGAGACCTGTTTCAGTAATCCAGGTGAGATGGTGTTGGCTGGGGCTGTGGAGATAAAAGGAAACAGATTTTAAAAATAAAGTGTCCCGTAGCTTGTGAAATATTTAAAATTGCAGTGGGCTAGTGGACTCAGTCTTAGATTAGTGAGTAGGAAACTCAGTAACAGACCTAGAGATTGTATTACTTAAGGAAAAAAAAAATGTTCTAACTGCGGTTCTTTTCTTTATGTCTACAAAACCAACTACAGGGCAATGTTGCCTTTCCTTTCCAAAGATCAGGCTTTGTCAGATTGCTCTGGGTTGATCATAAACTTAGGTTGATTGTGTTCTTATTAGCAGAATATAAAGTGGGAACATTTAAAAATCTGACTTTTCTGTTTCAGAGCTTCTTCCCTACTGTTTATTTTAGTTGATTTATTTAGATTTGGTAATCGGTAAGCAAATGTCTGAGTCTTTCCTCAAGGAATGTACATTATTTTAAGTCCACTGGGCAGAATAGTGTGGAATACATACATGTGGCTTCCCTGCCCAGGCACAACTTCTTAAGCCATATTTATTAACGTCCTTTCTCAGACATAAAATTCTGTCTTAAAGGAGAGATGATAACCCATCAAGTAATGATTTATATGTTAATGTGGTTATTTGGTTTATTATCTAACTACTCCTATTAGAATGTACTTTTTATGAGGGAAGGGACATTGTCTCTTTTAAGACTATATCCCTCTGTACATAGATTGATCCTCAGCATATACCAGGTGCACAGTGAATAACTGAATGACTGAGGAATGGAGGAATGAGGGAATATTTGTCTTAAATTGACTTCACTAAATTAAGGCGTTTCATTTCATTTCAATCTTATAATTTTTTTTCATTTAACATTTTGAAAATTTGATATTAAAATGTTTGAAAGTAAAATGATTTTTTTTTTTGCAGGACTATCTAAAGCAGGTGCTGGACATTGATCTTCATGCTCAGATCCACTTTGGCAGGGTTTTTATGAAACCAGGGTATGAAAATCATCTTGTTATCTAATATATGGGGTTGGTTTGGCTTGTTTTGACTAACAAAGTTTTAAATGCTTCCTTTTTACATTTTCTATTATGGATTATTTATTCTAATAAAAGAAATATTATAGTATTAGAATTCTTTGCACAAGTGTAGTATCCTATCTGAAATGGGAATTTGTCATCTTTACAAATCACTGAGTTTGGTATAAACAAAGCAAAGCAACTTTCCAAATCTGTTTTTCCTTTAATTCCCATGTCTAGTTCCTTCCCTTTTTCTTTTTCTCTCCAGACTGCTTCTTTCTCTCATTAAAAAATTGTTAGAATGAAAATTCTCAAACATACACAAAAGCAGGGAATTCTCATATACCCATCACCCAGCTAACTATCTGCATTTTCCTATAACTATTTTATGAATCCCTCCTTGGGTGCACAGAGGGCTGGATTGTTTTAAAACAAATTCTAGACATGTCATTTTGGTATACATCTCACGTACCAGTGAGAACAGCAGCAGTATTAGCTTACGTAATCACAATGGTATTATCTCACCTCACAAAATAAAGAATACCTTAATATCACCTAATACACTAAGCATATTCAAACTTCTCCCAAATGTCAAGGAAAAGAATGCCTTCTTACATATGTTTGTTTAAATTAGAATTCAAGTCAGATCCACTCATGGTATGTGGTGGTTTAATCCGTATTAAACAGGAACATTTACTAGCCTCCCCACACACACACACACACACACTACCTTTTTTTGTCATGCCATTGACTTGCTGAAGAAACAGAATCTTTTGTCCTGATGAATGGATTTGGCTGATTGCTTCCTTGCGGTGGTGTTTAACTTGTTCCTCTCTCTCTCCAGTTTATTCTGTACGCTGGAAGTTAGAGCTAAAGGGTTGATTAGGTTCAGATCCAAGTTTTTTTTCCCTCTGCAAGGATACTTCCTGAATAGTGTTTCATACTGCTTCTTGCTACCTCCCAGGAGGAAAGAAAAATAACCACATACCTAGATCTTACACATTTCCTAAAAACTAGTAACTCCCTAAGGAAGGGCTGGTGGAGGTTCTATAATCCGTTGTAAATCCTCAAAGAATGCAAACATTCTTTGTTGATAAAATATGTGTGGCCATGTCTTTAGGCAATAGTCTGCCTGTTCAGAGCCCTGCTACTCTGTAAAGCTTTGATATATGAACAATATAGACACACTGTTCAAAGGCCTCAGCATGGGGCTGAGCATTCCAGCACGCCTCCATGCTGTCAGGGAGAACAGTAATGATGCTTCAGTTCAGATTTATACTCTGATGGGTGCTCATATAAACCCTAAGAGAGAGTAGAGGTTAGACTTGCCAGTTGTTACAAGTGAGCCGTGGGAACTAGCAGCAAATTCCAGAAGCCTTTTCTAAGTGTCAAGCCAGCCAGCCCTCTGGTTACCTTGTGTCAGTTCTAGGACAGAGATCTGGCTTTACATTTAAGTATGACATTAAGATTATTCCTAAAATCTAACAGATTTTGGAATTCCACAATCTAATAGAACTTAGAATTCTTGGCATTGTATTTCTGTAGTTGCTCCAATACGGCTGCCACTGACAAGGCCGTTTTACTATTGAAACTGTTGGATTTGGATCATTCTTATTAAGAATATTTTGTCTTAAGCAAATGTTATTAATGCTGTGGATACACAGGCTTTTTTCCTCCCTGTCCCTGTGGGCAAGACTAATTAGATTATAATACAGAGGACATCCCCAAAACGTGTCAGTGTGCTCACTAACCTCAAAAATTGTCTATTTCTTTGCAGTGAGAAAGAAGCTGACATTACTTGATGTCACCCCTAGAGGAGAAATATTTGTTTAATATCTGTTATTCAAATTAATCTCAGCACCTATGATATATAATTTTGGTATTCTTTTTGTTTTTAGTCTATTATTTACCATTTACTTCAGCTATAGAAATTCATCAGTTCAGAATGTTTATTCTCCTCTCTTAAAGTTGTAACACTGTGACTTCAGTGATTGTATAAAATTTGTTTATAAAACAGTGTATAAATGCTGTCACATTCTGATCTTAAGAAGAGAATGAACAATAAGTGTTGAGTTCCAAGGAAATGGCTTTCCAGAGCCTAAAGAAAAATTTCAGAGCCTACCAAAAGGACACTCACAATAGCAATGCACAGTAACAAGATGTTTTGCTATAATGGAATCTTTTTTAAATGAATACCTTAGAGAAATCACAGTACCTATCTGCAAGATTCAAAAGATAATTTAAATTGGCTTTAAGTACAGTGAAAGGAAGGTGTTATGCATTCCCTCCTCACTCTTATTGTGTGTGTTAGTTTGCTATTAAAAAAAAAAGTGGTTTAGAACTTTAAATGGTTTTCTTTAATTGACCAGAATTTTATACTTGTCTGAAGATAAGAATTTAAAGGTAATTGCTACTTAGTAGTAGAACAAGAAGAAATATAAAAAGCGCAAGAACAATTTAGCTTTGCTCTTCCCGCATACAATGCATTCAGAATGCAATTACCCTCTTTCGCTTTAGACACAGAGAAACTCAAAAAGTATTTGGAGTATGATCAACCAGGGCTACCAATCACCATTTTTATGGGTCATCTACAGTGAACATAGGTGTTATTGAGACTGTATCATGGAAATTATTTTCATCACATAGTAACAATCATTGCCAAATAACCTATCTACAAATTGATATGACAGTCTAATCTCATTTTCCTAAAACACAGCAAAGAATCAGGTAAGCAAAGAAGCGAAAAAGTCCTCAGAGTAGCCAAAAATAGATGCTACAAAGTCTGTAACAATATACTCTATAAGAACTTTATCTAATTATGAGCCATAAAAATTAGAAAAACCTTGGTTCAAATCTGTTTCCCCATTTAGCAACTGAATGATTTTGGCCAAATTGTTTAATTTGAGTCTCAGTTTCCTCATTGATAGAATGAGATGATAGTTGTCACCTCATTATTGCAAGAATTAAATGAAATAATGAATATAATGCTTAGATGTTTCTTTTTAAAAAGTAACTTCTATTATTACTATTATTTTTATCTTTTTAACAATATAACTGTTACTCTCTGGTGCTGAAAATCTAAGGCTGGCTTTACGGTCGAGATGACAACAGTGTATCATTAAAGGGACACATAGAAAAAAACTAGGGGGGAAAAAAAGAAACGAGAACTATAGAAACACAGCAGTGTGTGCTGTTGTGTTACAGTTTAACACCCCTGTGACCCAACATCACTATCATAGCAGATTAGCATCAGTTAATAATGGCTGTGATTCATCAAAAATGTTGATTTTCATCACATTATTGCAAAAGGTAATAATCCATTTTTGAAAGACTAACCTGCAAAAATAATAAGAAAGAAAAACAATTTGGATGCTTAAAAGGGTAATTTTTCAGCTATATGGAAATTTCAGCATTCCATAAGGATTTTGCATCACTCAGCTTTCATTCACATAATAACATTTTAGCTGAAATTCTATATGAAGGGTAGTCAGTAGAGAAAAATCACTATTATTAACCATTCACTGCCTTCATGCCGCTCACTCAACCCTCTTCACACCCCCATAATAAGGGTTCATGTCAGATTCCTGAAGTATAATTTGAGACTATTTTAAAATTAATATTTCTTTAATTGTGTTCTAGTCGTGGCATTTGATGATGCTAGAAATAAATTAATTTAAATGCTCTTGGAACACTTCAGATTACAAAAGTTTAAAGGAGCATCAACAGAAAAGTATTTTTATACAATAACCAATCTGTATGAAAAACCACGTAACAGGAAAACTGGAGTATTTAATTTACTCGTCAGATTGCTTAGCAGTCACTAACAAATAACTCTTCATTTTCTCTAGCCTGCCAACAACATTTGCAACTTTGGATATTGATGGTGTAAGAAAAATAATCTTTGCACTTCCAGGTAAGAATAATTGAAATAGTTTCTTTTGCTTTTAATGGAAAAACAACCAAAATCTTTTTGAAATCCAGGTGACCAGTGTCCTGTCAGAGCACTTGATTTGGAAACTGAAAGACTTGGGCTTAAGTCCCAGCTTTACATACTGTATGACCTTGGACAAATCACTTAACCTCTTTGAAGCTGTTTCTTCATCTATAAAATGGGGCTAATATCTACTTCTTAGGCTTGGTGTGAAAGTCCAATTAGACAGTAACTTTCAAAGCACATTCCAGACCTTAACATGATGATCAAACGTTAGCTGTCACTACATCTTTCTGGGGCACCCACCTTTCCTTATAAGAAATTGGTCAAAATTAACAGTCTAATCACCTCCCACAACTGGAAATTGTGCTCAAGGGGCCAAAGGACCTTAAATCACCCATGTAAATACTAGAACAAAAAAAAAATACAAAGCTGCCTTTGGTCCTTGCCAGATTTGGACTGGTGGGGGGAGAGCAGCAACACAACATGGGGGGCTACTAGTAATGGTGCTTCTCAGCCAAACCCCGGGCAACATCATTCTGAGCGCATCACTCTCCCCTCCCTCTCCCTACCCTCTCCCTTGTGAGCAGAAACTCACATGTTCAAATTGTAGAAAAAAGCAAAGTGGTTCAGTTTACAATTTTTGGACTTTTGGCTGTGCATTTAAAGCCATACTTCTAAAGTCATTACTAATCCTGATAAATTCTAAAGCAGTTTAGAAGTTTTGTGTATCTACTTGTTTTTTCAACTTTTAAAATTATTCTCTGATCTGTAGCAGTGTCCTGTTCTCTATTTTTTGGCATACATTCCTTCAGAAAATAACCTACTTACTCCTTTCAGATGTACAAATCTGGTGACTTTGGGATATCTATCTTTTTTTTATATTAAACAAATCTCAAAGTAGAGATAGAAAGAAAGGCAGGCAGAAAAATTTAGAACTTTAAAAACATTTTTAAAGCCCCTATCTGTAAGCATAAAAGAGATCCTATCATATAGGAAATTTTAAGAAAGGTCATGTAAGTAAAGTCTTAGTCCTCAGAATGTATCTATGGTATTGAACTCCTTCAGGCCTTTGACATACCCTTAGATATTCTGAAAACCATCGTATAGAGAAAAATGATCCTCTTCCTAGCTTTATTTTGCCTAGAAGAGACTGTGTACATTGTCTATAGAAGATATGGCTTGACCTACAAAGTATATTATAGCGGGAGCCTATTTTGCCATTACTAACAAAATGTTGTTGATCTGCTAAAGAAGTTATAATTAAACAACCTACTTTCATATTGCTACTTTGAGATTTTCTCTACTCAGCCTGAATATACCAAAAGAGGGCAGCATGTTCACATGTTCAGATTATAGAACCAGCAAAAGTCAGAATTGGATTTCTGCTTTCCTGAGGGTCTTGCATTTAAAACCATCAATAATCTTGATAAGTTCTAAAGCAGCTTAATAGTTTTGTGTATCTACTTGCTCTTTTTTAACTTTTTAAAATTACTATAGTAACATATATTCACTATAAAAACATTAGAAAATGCAGATAAGCATTAAGAAATGTTACCCATAATTTCCCTCCCCCTGAAATAACCACTATTTAGAATCTTTTGGTCTTAGTCCTTGCAGGCCCTTTTCTTATATGGAGCAATTCATTTTTTATAGAGTAGTTTTAAAAAAGCAGTAGCACTACAAGAATTCTATAATCATTATTGAACAATAGCTTTCTTTTTTTTCTTTTTTTAACTTTTCCAGAAAAATCTCCATCTGTTTGTATTTTGAGGCAAGGGGAAAGTGACTGATTCTCACTGAGTCTGCTGTTCTGTGGGACAGTTCATTTTTTCTGTTGAAATCATTAATATCACTCATTACTTTACAGCTTTAAAAAATCTGTTCTTAACTGCTTTGTGGGTAGAAGAAAATTAAAGTTATGGTTTGAGCTAATAATAGGCTGTTGACCATTGCCTTTTATTTTGATGCAAAAATTAGCAGCACATAGCCAAGGCAAAGGAACCTAAAATTTAGTAGCCCATTCCCCCTCCCAGTATATATATGCATGCTCCCATACCACTGTATAAAAGTATTAATACAGTAAGAATTTTAGAACCAGAAGAGATATTGAGAATCATATAGTCCAAACCTTTCATTTTGTTTTGTGGGTAAGTAAAGTTAGACCCAAAAAGTTTCGGAACTCTTGCCACAGTCACACAGCTCAGTCAGTCGGCAGTACCACACAAGAGGCTAAATCTGTTATTCTCAGCTCAGTTTTTGTTTGTTTGTTTGTTTGTTTCTTTTTTAATAGGACACCTTACCTACCTCTGAAGTGCATGACTCACCCAGATCTCTTCTTGGAGAAGTACAATTTTGAATTCCTCAAATTTTTCTTATAACTGTAAAAGAACTTGGTATTTGTATTAGTCTACTCAGGCTGCTGTAACAGAATATCACAGACAGGGTGGCTTAAACAACAGAAATTTATTTTGTCACAGTTCTGGAGACTGGACAATCAAGGTGCCAGCAAAGTTAGTTTTTGAGATCTTTCCTCCTGGCTTGCAGATGGCCACCTTCTCACAATGTCTTCACATGGCCTTTCTTCTGTGTATACACACTCCTGGTATTTCTCCCTCTTTTTATAAGGATACCTGCCCAATTGGATTAGGGCCTTACCCTTAAAACCTCATTTAACTCTAGTTACCTCTTTAAAGATCCTATTTTCAAATACAGTCACATGGTGGCAGGGGTGGGGAGAGGGATTAAGACTTCAACATGTGAACTGAGGGGGAACACAATTCAATTCGTAACAGTATTCTTCTGCAAATCCTTCACATCTTCAATCATTTAGGGTTTTTTTTGTTGTTTTTTAAAGAAATTTCTGGGTAGAAGAGATTATGGGTAAATTTCTTTATGCTTATCCTACTTACTAATTTTTTTTTTTGGTACTAAGCATGTATTACTATGGTCATTTTAAAGCATTTTTAAAATAGCAAGTAGAAATTGGTTAATAAAGGCTTCCAATGTATGGCTGTCAGGAAAGCAGAAATAAATGGTGTGGAACAGCTTCTGCATATCAGAAGTCTCTGCGTTTCACAGGTAGATCCAGATGTTTACACTGTCTGGCATTTGGTTGACTGTAGCTCTATTCTGGCATCCTTTTGGATTCAAGGTGATCCAAAAGAGGAAGACTAGTGGTTAGTCACCTCACTCTTTATGATACCTGAAAGTATAGACAGTCAGAATTATTTGGCAGAGTTCTATTTGTATACTGTAAATAACTGCTTGGTTGACTTTCAGGGAATCCTGTGTCAGCCGTGGTCACCTGCAATCTCTTTGTTGTGCCTGCACTGAGAAAGATGCAAGGCATCTTGGATCCTCGGCCAACCATCATCAAAGCCAGGGTAATGTTTTCCAATGATCAGAAACCAAAATTGTAGCCTAATAACAAAGAAGGATGTGATTGTTTAATTGCCCAAAGCAAACATCTTGAATTTATATTAGTTTTGAGGGAAAATGTGGTTATATTCTTCCCTTCGTGATAGAAAATGGAGGAGAGGGAGTCTCTTTTATTCTCTTCCCACACTATTCTGTGACTTCATACAGGAATGGATATGTAATGACAAAATGGTCAATAGAATGTGGCTGGCACCACCCTAACACTAAACCTATATGGAAGGAGAGGCCAGAATCCCTTTCCCTATGGCAACTCCCAGAGGACAGCAATACCTGATCAGTTTTCCCATGGCCCGCTGATAAATTTTAAACAGTTCAGGAAAAGACACTAAAGGACAAGAAAGAGACTCAGTGAGCCAGAAGGAAAGGGCCACCATATTGCTTGGGAAAGGACCACTAAAGCTGAGGTATCACGCCTGCACTAAAGGTCACTCAGAAATCAGAGTCCCCTCCTCCACCAACACTCACTTCAACTTGATTTACTGCTACTCAGCAAATGAGGGGCCACACCTTCTGTGTAACTAATGAACAATTCTCTTGGCAATTTAGACTACAATACCAAACCAGTACTTTTTTCTTTTTTTGAGCTTTATTGAGGTATAATTGATATATGTAAATCACATATATTTAATGTAGACACTTTGATGAGTTTGGACATTTGCAAACTCCCATGATACCATCACCACAAGCAAGGTACTAAACATATCCATCACCTCCAAAAATGTCCTTGTGTTCTTTGATGTGTTTGTTTGTTTATTTGTTTGTTTGTTTCATGGTAAGAACATTTAACATGACAACTGTTCCCTTAATGTGTTTTAAAGTGCACAATGCCTTGCTGTTGACTGTGGGCACTGTGTTACAAGCAGGTCTCTAGAACTTCTTCACCTTGCGTAACAGAGGCTTTATATTCAGTGAGCAACGGTCCCCATTTCCTCCCGCTCTCAGCCCCTGACAGTCCCCACTGCACTCTCTGCCTCTCTGTGTCTGACTGTTTTAAGTGCCTTCTGTCAGTGGACTGATGCAGTATTCGTCCTTCTGTGACTGGTTTCTTTCACACAGCATAATGTCCTCTAGGTCTACCCATGTTGCCGCTTGGAAAACACTATGGAGATTCCTCAGAAATTAAAAATAGAACTACCATATGATCCAGCAATCCCACTTCTGAGTTTATGTCCAAAAGAATTGAAATTAGAATCTTAAAGAGCTATATGCACCCGCATGTTCATTGTAGCATTATTCACTATAGCCAAGATATGGAAACAACCCAAATGTCCATTGACAGATGGCTGGATAAAGAAAATGAAGTATATGTGCACAATGGAACATTATTCAGTTTTAAAAAAAGATCAGTCATTGATCATTAAAAGATATCATTGGATGCCTGGGATATGAGAGTATTATGGCCTATGGATTAAAAAACATATAGAAAATGAGAGAATTGTCTATGATTTGTAAGAAATGTAAACTAGTTTTATTATTATTAGGAAATGAAAAATATAACTAGGTTATAGAAAATTTGGAAAAATGAATTTGGAACTGATCTGTACCAGCATGTGCAAGAATTTTAAAATGACATGATAAATTGTAGACAGGTGATTTATAGGGCAGGTAAGCTCAAGGACCTCCGTGGTAGACTAATGAAGTCAGCGCCTCATAACTTCTCTAGCACTTTTGAAAGTTAGTGTAAAGCTCCTTTAACCACTCTTTAGAAGCTTTGACCAGACTTTATAATACCCTAAACTGCTCCATCTCAGAAATTACCAACTCTGGTATACAATTTAGGAACAGTGGCAGTCACCTACCAGCCAAAACAAAAGAATATAAACACTCCTGTAACCCCTGCCCTTTCCCCTCAGTCCATAAGCCCCTCTGGCTTTACCCCTTTTCCTCATCCAGCCTAAATCCGATGGTGTATCACTTCAGCTTTCTTCTCACACCCTTTTTTTTTTCTTGCCTCTCCTTACTTCCTCTAGAATCACTCTAAGAATCCACAAGCTTGGATCATGCTTCCTTTTCTTGTCCTTCACGTTTATTCCCAGGCCACTGAGTACAACTAGAGAAGAGTACAGCTGTTCAGGTTGTCACTTCCAATTTGCACATCTCAGCAGGGGCCAGAATTCCCCTTGATGATCCTTTTATTTATATCCTGTGGATCAGCTTCTAACATTCCTTATGCGGTCTGCCAGGTCTTCACCATCCTCCGAAGCCCCCTCCACAATCCACATCCTGTGTTTTGTAGTCAAATAAGCCTGGTTTGAGTGATGGCTCCAACATTTAATAGGGTGTCTTCCTCTAATCTTCCTCCTTCTATATCTCTTTTCTGTCTAACACTAATCATGTCAGCATCTCCAATTAAAATTCTTCAGTGCTTCCCCTGACCCCAGGGTTAAATCCAAGAACATAGGAGGCTCTCCATCCCAAGACCTGTTTTCCCCTCCAGCCTCATCTGCTTCCCACCCTGCACTCTGACCACACTGAGCTATTTACTGCTTCCAGAATGGGCATGAGGTCTCCTTTCTAGAAGGTTCTCTGCTGACCACCACCTTCTCTTTTCTCAGCTTGGAAAATTCCTTGGTCGTAAGACTCAGGCATTATGCCCCCTATGAAGCCCTTCTCAATGTTCCTAGAAAGGCTGGATTATTTACCTCTTTGTGCCCTTTTATACCATACACATAGCTCTGTGACAACATTATTACACTGTACTTGCAATTAATTATTTGCTATATTTGAGAATTCTTTGAGGTCACTTATCTGTAAAATACGCAGAACAAAGAGGAAGGACAAAATATTCTCCCCTTTTTTTAATTACTAAATTTTGTTTTCTAGAGCACATTTAGGTTTACAGCAAAATTAAGCAGAAAGTACAGAGTTCCTGTATTACCTCCCACCCCCCAACCCATCCTCACACACACACAGCCTCCCCAACTTGACATCCTGCACCACAGTGGTACGTTTGTTACAATCAGTGAACCTACACTGACACATCATTATCACCCAAAGTCCATAGTTTACATTAGGGTTCACTCTTGGTGTTGTATATTCTAGGAGTCTTGACCAATGTACAGTTATATGTATTGACCATTGTAGTATCATATAGTTCCACTACCCTAAAAACCCTCTGTGCTCTGCCTGTTCATTCCTCCCTCCCTGCTAACCCTTGATCTTTTTACTGTCTCCATAGTTTTGCCTTTTCCAGAATGTTGTATAGCTGCAATCATACAGTGTGTAACTTTTTAAGATTGTCTTCTTTCACTTAGGCGTATGCATTTAAGTTTCCTTCATGTCTTTTCATGACTAAATAGCTCATTTCTTTTTAGCATGGAATCATATTCCAACCTCTGGGTATACCACCATTTATCCATTCACCTGCTGAAGGGCACCTCGGTTGCTTCCAAGTGTTGGCAATTATGAATAAAGCTGCTGTAGACATTTGTGTGCAGGTTTTGTATGAACATAAATTTTCAGTTCACTTGGGTAAATACCAAGAAGCGTGACTGCTGGACTGTGTGATAAGAATATATTTAATTTCATAAGAAACTGCCAAGTTATCTTCCAAAGTAGCTGTACCATTTTGCATTCCCACTGCAGTGAATAAGAGTTTCTGTTCTTCCACATTCTCAACAGGATTTGGTGTGGCCAGTGTTTTAGACTTTTGGCTTTTCTAGTGGGTATCTAGAGAAATCTTACTGTTTTAATTTGTAATTCCCTAATGACATATTTTTTTCATATGCTGAATTGTCATGTGTGTATCTTCTTTAGTAAGGTGTTAGGTCTTTTGCCCATTTTTTTAACTGCGTTGTTTGTTTTCTTATTGTTGAGTTTTAAGAAATTTTTTCTATATTTTGGATAACAGGCATTTATCAGATGTGTTTTTTGCAAATATTTCCTCCCAGTCTGTGGCTTATCTTCTCATTTCACTGAACTTTGTTTTCCTAATTCTCTCCCTTAGACATTTACATATAAAACACCATGTAATACTACACCAAATAATACAGTTTTATCTCTTGAATGACTACTGTGTGCCAGAAAAGTATTCAAAGGAAACAGAGGACTCCTGGTCCACAGCCCACTGCCCAATTTTAAATGAGTAGAAAAAAATCATCAGAAGTGAAACATCCACTATTTGCAGTGCTCTTCCACCAGAAAGCATCGTCTGTTTACTCATGATACATCATTCTTACAAGCACTGAAGCTCACAGTAAATAGGTGCTTTCTTAAGGTCACTGATGGAATATACCAGAACTATAATGTCAGTACAACTAAATATATTAGTTAATAAAGTGTTCTGCATTTCAGTAACATACCATAAAAATCTGACTAGTTTCATCTCTTGCTACAAAAGGAACAGCTGTTTGTGAGGCTATGAAAAAATTTCATTCACATCAATTTGATGCAATTAATTTCCGTTTCTTAAATTAACATGAATATCTTCCTTTAAAACAAACAACCCCATTTTGTAGATGAACAAACTGGTAAAGGAAAGCAAAATAACTTGCTGATACACCACACCAGTTAGCAGTAAAACTGGAAGTAGAACCTAAGTGTCGGATGTCTCCCCATTCCAGCGTTTGCTCCACTGTACTGCAGGGGGGGAAACCTTAAACACTTAGCAAAAAACACATGAACAGCTCTTGTGGTTTAGTACCGAAGAACGCACATACACACAGAAGGAGACAAAGAGAGATTTTTGTCCTCAGGTGAGCACGGAATAATTTAGGAATAATGGCAAGTTACCCCCCCAGTAGATATGAAATAGGGTATAAACATAAGTAATAGCAAATGAAAGTGCATGATTAAATCAAAAACACCCTAAAATTGAATTTTATTCTGGTTTCCAGTAGAAAAGCATACACTGTGTCAGAATGAATAATCAAAATATTAAAAACAATGTAACTAGAATGGATTGGAAATAGACTTACTTGAATCAAAATTTCCAGGATATTCAAGTTTTAATTGTATCATTTGCTCTTAGCAATATCTGTTTTAGTTGAGTAAAGGATTTCTAGACCACTTTAAGGCAGAGTATCTTAAATGATTATTGCACTAATGGAAAATGTTAATTCTCGTACACTGGAACAAGTCTTGTTCTCACTAACAGCGAACTAATCCTTGATGGGCTATAGACTATAATTACATCTGCATAAACTTGTTCATGGTACCTGCTACCAACACACTATCACTAACTAATCAGATTTCAGAATGAATTTAATGACATACATTGAAAAAAAAAACGGCTCCAGGTTGAAGGTCGATTGGTCATTCTGCATCATGTATATTTGTCTTCACAACCCATAAATACCAACTTCTTAGCTTTCTTTTCTCTTTTCACCAGAGCAACCCATCTCTGGATTCCCTGTGTTGAGAACATAAGGTGGCAGTGCTGGAAACAGCAGAACGCCAAGATATTTTCCATGTCCGTTGCTCTCTTTGCACAACCACCACTACCCTATAGTTTTAAGAAATGATCAGGTGATCAAGTTTGTTTTCTTTTCCTCTTTATTCTGTAGTTATCATGTGATGTAAAACTGGATCCTCGCCCAGAATACCATCGGTGTATACTGACTTGGCATCACCAAGAACCACTGCCTTGGGCACAGAGCACAGGTCAGTCATTCACACCTGCAGGTATCTCTCTGCACCCCTCCTGTTAAAGCACAAATTTATATATAATGTCCTTCTTTGAATATACCTAATTTTGTAATTATTGTACATTTTCCCTTTTGAAAAATTAGATGAATTAAATTATTCCTAAACTGTATAACATAGCAAGACAATAGCAAAAAAGCTAATGAAGGTTTAGTTATTCCATGGAGCCGTATTCTCTAGATAAACATTTGAAATACAAATCTAGAATTACAGATTTTTATCTGTTGGTTCAACCAGTAAGTTCTGAGCATAACTTTGGTTGTATTGAAAGGAGGGGACCGTGGCTATGCCACCCTGGAGTGTGAGATTAAAGCCCAATTATAATGTGACTCTCTGTAGCCTCTGTTATACCCTAGATTTTGGTAAATTTTAAGGACTGAGAAATCAGCCTTTATAATGCTATAGTTACCGCCTCTAGACTCAATTTTTCTGTAGTTACTGCCTCTAGACTTCCAACTTTTATCCCCAACTTCTCTAGTCATATTTTACCTATTGATGCGACTCTAGAAAAACTGTATTACCCTTTAAACAAAAGTCCTATCAAGTGCAAACATCAGCTAACACAGTGACTGGATATGTCACCAGAGACTTGCATGCAAATTGGCTACCAGCTAATTATAACTAGTAGGACCCTAGACAAGTTACCTAACCTCTTTTGAGTCTGTGAGAATTAAATAAGTTGGTTAAGTAAAATGCCTTGTCTGGTACTTAGTAAATACTAAAGAAATGGTAGCCACTGCTTTTACTATCATTATTATTTTAACAGGTTTTTAAAGTCTCTCTTTTCAGATGCACGTCACATTTCAGCCAGAACTGAGAAATCCCGTGGCATTTTGCACAGTACTGTAAAATGTTGGTTTTGTCCTTTTAAGCAGTACTTCCTAATGTTTATTTTTGAAGTTCAGTGGGAAGGCAGTAGGATACGGTAGCAAGGCCACCTGAAAAGGGTACTGGGAAGTCTGATCATCTCTCTTCCTCTTGAAGACCTGTGTTTCTGTTCATCGGTTTTTATTTTGACAAGAACTCCCAAGGGCTCCACGTGCGAACACCACGATGCTGACGCTGCTGTAATGAGAGTATTTCCTCCTAGGTAACCAGATGAGCAGCCGTCTAATGAGCATGCGCAGCGCCAACGGATTGTTGATGCTTCCTCCAAAGACAGAGCAGTATGTGGAGCTCCACAAGGGCGAGGTGGTGGACGTCATGGTCATCGGACGGCTATGATGGTCACTGGCGGGGAAAGCTTTGATGCATGTCCACATATCATTGACTGTATCCTGTAATATGCAACGGCACAGCTAGTTTTTCTGATTCGGATAAAAGTTGATCTGTATAGTCAACATCTTGAACTATATTTCAAAAGAATTTAAATACCTTTTAAAGAAAAAAAAACACCTAAAAGTAAATCTTAACAGACAATTCTATTCTGATTATATCAAAGCAAATTTTTCCTTTCTTGCAAATTGCTGTGTGTGTTCAATGCTAGGTCTGGTAGCGATAGCTTTTAGTAGACAGCGGTAGGTGCCTGCAGAACTTGTGTTTTCCTCATCTTTAAAATACAACTACTTATGCTCTTAAATCAAGGCTGTCTGCTTATTTATACTAGCGTAGGCAACACTTGGATTTCCCTTCTTAGTCTGCTTCATAATCGCTTTACAGAGAGCTTTTGCTTGTTCTTTATCATGTATCTCGTGTTTATGTGCACAGTGCCAAAAGGAGAGTGACTGGTGGCAGCCCCGCCCTGCCTCACGGAGAACCATCCCTGCAGAGCGTCCGGGAGGTTTCTCGTCCCAGTAGCCTCATGGCACAGTACTCTTGGGCAGTAACTGGATACCTTTTATTTGAACCAACAAACTGGGGTGGGGAAATGCTTCCTTAAGTGCTGACAGCCTTTTTAACCAATACATTTAAAATTGTACAGAACAAAAAATAAAATCAAAGACTGATCTTGTACAGATATTAGTGTTACCAGCATTCATGTGGAAATCAAGAGCAAAGAAAAAATAATGTTAACTCTGTACCATAACATTTTCTGTAATGATACTGAAACTTAATGAATAAAAAAAAATCCTTGATCATTATTTAAAATCCATTGTGTCGGCCTTGTTATTAAAAAAAAGAGAGAAGATTATCACACCGTTCTGCCTGAATAAGGGAAACAGTTAAGATGGCTTAGCAAAGTTAAGTGGTATAAAGGAGATTTAAAATGTGTTATAATATGACTCTATATTTTACTATAGCGTTGTGAAAATACAGATTAGAAAGTAGGACAGAACTTGCAGTTGGTCTGGTCTTTCCAGTCGGTCTGGTCTTTTCAGTCATAGCTGGCAAATAGCAAGCAAATTTACAAGAAAGATAGTAGATAGTTTAGAAAAAAAAAGTTTTTGTTTCAGATTCATAAAAACAAATTTCAAACATTACAGTTCTTTCAAGTGGAGGGGAAAAGTTAGGTAACAAGCCAGAAAATTGCAGATGAGTATCTGGACATTTTTGATTATGTTAGGAAGTAAGAAATGGGAAAAACTCTACTGACCATAGAAAATACAATAATTGAAATATATGCTGTCCACAATGACTTCTTTTTTTTTAACGCTTTTTATTGATTTATAATCATTTTACAATGTTGTGTCAAATTCCAGTGTTCAGCACAATTTTTCAGTCATACATGGACATATACACACTCATTGTCACATTTTTTTCTCTGTTAGTTACCATAATGTTTTGTGTAAATTTCCCTGTGCTATACAGTATAATCTTGTTTATCTATTCTACAATTTTGAAATCCCAGTCTATCCCTTCCCACCCTCCGCCCCCCTGGCAACCACAAGTCTGTATTCTCTGTCTATGAGTCTGTTTCTGTCCTGTATTTATGCTTTGTTTTTGTTTGTTTGTTTGTTTTTTAGATTCCACATATGAGCAATCTCATATGGTACTTTTCTTTCTCTTTCTGGCTTACTTCGCTTAGAATGACATTCTCCAGGAGCATCCATGTTGCTGCAAATGCACAATGACTTCTTTAATAAAACATAAGGGTGCTTTTCAAATGGTGGTAACAGGACACATTAAATATGCTATAGAGTATACTTAGTAAAGCAAACAACAAAAATTAGCCTACTAGTAAACCAGTTGCCAAATGATGGTGATGAAAAAGCCAAGTTGTAAACAAAAAATGTTTGATACTGATATTTGGTATTTCCAGAAATAAAATGTCCTATGTTTTAAATTTCTTTTATATTTGCAATTAAAGAAGAAAAGGTTAATTAATAGAGGCTAAATGAAAGGTTATGCAAAGAGTTCTTTACCTACA